GTGTGAACATGGGGGACACAGATACCACCTGACTGGTGGTTACAGCCCCCGAGAGGGGCACCCGCATCAGCTGTCATTCCAACTAGCTTTTGTAAGTCCTGGTCAAGAATTAAATCAAAAAATCATATGACTATTCACTTCCACACAGTGAAGCGGATACAAGGCTGGCACCTCTTCAAAGTGGCATTTCTACTGGACATAATAACTGATGTTAGAATTGTTCCATCATGAAGTGAGTGAACCTGAGAGAATTGCAATATGCACGGGGCACTAGCTGATGTGAAAGCAGCTGTGGCCATTTGTAAAGTGAGGCGTTCCAGAATCACAGAAGGAAGGTTGATGTGCGTGCTTGCAAGTAAAGGCTCAGAAAGTGATGCAGGGGGTTGCTGGTTAAGCTGACTGACAAGGGATGATCCTCTAGGGGGCCCTCTGCAGGGCAAGTTCAGAGGGCATCTTGTGCCCTGTGCTCTGTTGTAAGGGGTAGGGGGAGGCAGGGAAGTGCCTGGGGAATGAGCTGTAGAGGGAACCTCACTCTGAAGCTGCCCTGGCCATTGTGGTTCCACCGCGTTCACACCAGTCTGAAGCCAGAGTGGATTCTGCACTGACTGAATGTGAGAAGCCCAAAGTTAGACTGGAGCCATGAGGCTGCATGTGGCTTTTTAATTCTACCTGCTTGTGTGCTCTGGAGTCAGAGCTGGTCCTTGAGAAAACATCTCGTTTGGTCCTTCTTTCTCTCTGGGACATTTCTTGTTCCTTTGGTCTGAAATGACCTTCTACACCTTCCTCGTTTAGAAAATCCTGCTATCTTCCCTTTGACAGAATCCTTTGGCATCTGTATTTTAAAGGCAGTCCGCAGTAAAGAGAAATGAAGCTCTCAGGTGTAGGACTTCCAAGCAACTAGTGCTTCCATATGTAGAGGAGAAAACCAGCAATGCCTGGCACTTGGGTCTAAGACCGAACCAGTTGGTTAAGTGGAATCCGCTTTACCAGGCAGCAGAAACACTCCATGGCCAAGAAGAGACTCTAATTACCTTTGTCTGTTTTTAGTAACAGTGATTATGGTGTGAGAATGTGCATTGCAGCATTGTTTATTGTGGTAGAAAACAGCCAATGACCTCAGTGTCCATAAAGGGAGGTGACTAGCTAATCCCAGTGCTTTTAATACTATGGAATGCCATGGAATGAGAAAGAAGGCAGACCTACACAGCCTGACTTACAAAGATATTGAAGACATCTTTTTTATGTGAAACCAGCAAGTAAGAATATGCAGTAGGAAATTACCTATTAAAATAACCCCCGCATTAATTATGAATATTTTCTCTTGACATAATTATTTGCTAGCAAATTAAAAAAAAAAAAAAAGTGTCTGGAACCATAGAGCCAAACAGGGCACAGTTGTGTGGGAAAAGTCACCGGGATTGGGGCGGTGATCTAAATTGGCTTTCTAAATATAGAAAACATCTGGACACGTTCCTTTTCTAATTGTTCTTAAAAATACCTAAAATTCCATGGCAGTGTTGCATTAAATATCTGACTACAACATTAAATATCGAATCTGTGCTTACAAAATGCTGCTGCGCCCACACAGAGCTGAAGGACATTTGGGGAAGGCACTGGAGAGACATTAGGAGACAGAGCATTCTTTTTCAATTGCATCTACACTTTATCTCTGGCCGACTCTTAAGCTGATGACAGACACTGAAAATGGGAATCCGATAGAGTGAGGCCTTCTCTGAGGATGATTTCAGGCCTTTGTCCTCGCTAAGGGCCTTCTTGCTGCTAAAGCAAAATGTGCAGTTTAGACAATGTGCTGATGGTCGTGGTGGGGGGGTTTGAGTCAGGGGGGCAGGGGAGGGTGGGTGGAGGGTGTCACTCCTGCCCCTGACTTTAGCCTGTGGGTTCTGGGTAGGCGGTCACTCCTCCACCTGGGAGCACCATAATTTTGAGAAAAGAACACTTATACCTACTGATGACTGGCATTTACCATGTGGTCTCTTTATGCAAATTTGCTCACTAATGCTGATCCTTTTCTATACAAAGTCTGAATAGAATAAATGAAGCCAGTGGATTAGGGCCAGATGCTGTCATGTGACACTCACACACAGACACACACCTCTGAAAGCGGAGGTCGAGTCCCAGGAGGGGTAGCCTGTGATTATGTCATTAATAAACTTCACTGACAGACATTTATGTGCCTGAACACTTCTGGCTGAACCACACTTTTAAACTTAAATTCTGCAGGACATAGGTGGAAAATCTCATTGAATAGACCATTATAATTAAACCATATCTGAAGCTTTAAGAGTCAGGACTTGTATGGCTTTTCAGCATAAGTGTGTCACAGGAATCATGAGACCCATTTAAATGGAGCTTAAAAACTGTGTGTGTGTTCACACATGTGTGTATATATACATACGTGTTATGTGTTTATCTTACATATGAATGTATTAAGTGTATATATAAATTCTCAAAACCTAAAGAGTGAGTGGCCATGTTCTTCATTCTACCCTATTTCATGATTTTAGTAGAATCTGAAACGATTGAGACCCTTCTTTCCAGCCTCCTCTTCTCAAGAATAGCAAAGAGAGAATCATATAACTTCCTTGAGTTAGTGAAAAAAAAAGTCAATCTTGAAATGAAATCAGCTTTATGGTTTCAGATGCCTTTTGCAGCATCTAGACATGCTGGTTTGCAAGTAATAAAGCTGCTTTCTTTGGCAATCCTTCACAATTAAGTCTGAATTAGTTCCCTGGCCCTTTACTACTTCTTCCCTACAGCACTAGATACAGAACACATCACCGACCCCTTCAATCAAAAATGTTACTTGTATATTCATCAGGTTTCATGGTAGGATTCAAATAAATCACTGCTTATTCCTTCACTGAAAGGTGCTAGGAAATGCTAACATCAGAGATGGGAATATTTGAGGTTCACGCCCATGCTTTCTTCTCTTCTGTAAAAGAACCATATGTATTATTTTGGTAGCTTTTCTAATTATTATTATTATTTTTTATTTTCTAATTAAAACCTCAAGTACAGAAAGGCGTGAATGGGAACGTGGAAGCCCTCACCTCTGTGTGCTGACTCAGAAACCTTAGGAGGGATGGATACATGAGCTGTCCTAACAGTGAACTTCTGCCTCCCCCTTTTACTCTTTTGTTCCCCTCTTTTTTTTTTTAAGATTTTTTTCATTTATGCATACAGAACTGGAGTAAAGGCCAGAGGTGTAGGGGTGGTGAGAGGATTCACCAGAGACAGAGTGGGGGGCAGAACAGGCAGATTGACAAAGTACACTGCTGAGGGGAGCAGTGGGCAGTCAGGAGGTCTGCGGTGCCATGTGGATCACCTCTGGAGCGGAGATCGAACTCATGCTGAAGTGGCTTTAGCTTCTTAGTGTTGTGCTTTAACCCACTGTGCCACAGGGCCCTGTTCCCCTCTTTTTAAAATTTTAACATCAAAAGGTTCAAGTTTGCTTTTGTGAGAAGATAGTATAATAAATCCCCAACCCTCTGTTCATTCATCTTCAAAATGATCCACACTTACCCTTTATAAAACAAATCTCAGACATCAGATATCTCTAAAAGATAAGCATCTTTAGAGACTATATATAGGGAAGTCAAAACAAAGTAACATTATCACACCTAAATAAACAGCTTGAATCCATTTAGTTAATGTTATTCAATAACTAGAAATGAGGACTAAAGTTTAGATATGACCTAATCTACCTGTGATAGTTACTTTTATATTCAAGTGCACTGAGCCCTGGGCTGTCGAGGTAATTGGTCAAACACTGTTGTGAGTATGTCTGTGGGGGCATTTATGGATACAATTAGCATAAATTGATAGACTGAGTAAAGCTCAATGGCCTCCCCAATGGGTGAGGCTCATGTAATCTGCTGAAGGCTTGAACAGAACAAAAAGATAAGTAAAGGAATTCTTCCTGCCTGATGCTTTCAACTGAACACATGTGTTTTTTTCTGCCTTTACAATCCTGCCAAAATATGGCTCTTTCTGTATTTGGAGCCTGCTGGGCTTCAGGTGGGAATGATACTGTGAGCTTTTCTGGTTTTCATTCCTTCAGAGAGATTCCCTGGGTGCCCCGCTTTTTAACTTATTCTAGGCACCCCCAAATCATGTGATTCTAACCCTCGTATTGAATGTCTTTATATAAACAGGTTGATATAAACATAAATTATTTATTTGTGTACATATATAGTCACATATATGTGTTTATATGTATATATCCTGTTGAAGATAAAAAATAAAACTATCTAAGAAAACCCTCATACAGCACTAAATCAACAGTTCAAAAATAATTTCCCAAATGATTTGCAAATACTTTCTAAAAACATTAGTTGAATTAGAATTCAAAAAGCTCCATATATTATATTTTAAGCCTATGAACATTAGTTATATACTTGTAGAAAAATCATGGAATGTTTTCCTTTTCTGGTATTTCCTAGGTAAAACTGGATAAGCCCCATGATCCAAAGCACTAAGCATACACTTTTGTAATATCATTCTAGGTTTATGAAGACAGGAGTGTATGGCTTGCATGCATCATGATGGATGAAACCTGTTCCCACTCATAGCAGCATACTTTCAAAATGTCAATGAGCTTCTTTTAATACATTTCCTTGTGTAAGCTAGAAAATGTACAAATAACACATGTATTAGGCCCTCCCCACGCACATGTAGTATGGATAAAATGTAACCTCTCATACACACAGTTCTGAAATAAAGAACAAAAAACAAAGGAAGGTATGTATTACCATCATCATCTTCATCCAAGGAACTGGTTTCATGTCTTGTTTGGTAGCTGGGATTCTCTTCAAAACCCATACAATTAACGCCAATCTGTGCTACATTATTTATATGAAGACGAGCAAATAAGGTGCTCTGCTGAAATAGCTGATCTTTGATGGGAGGAATGCGGTAAGGTTAACATATGCTGAAAAGGAGCCAGTGCTGGCCTCACAAGGCCATTGCTGGACACTCACCCTGTGCTGTTGAGGTAACTCTGTCCCACGCTGCAGTCCTTTGACCAAGAGGATGGATTGAACCAAAACGCAGGCAGGCACTGGCCACTGCTGTGCCGCTCATAGCCATAGTCACTGTCGGGGAAGAGCCAAGGTAAGCCTTTCAGGAGATGACGACACATGAAGAACAATGCCATGTCAGTCCACAGCCAATTTCTAGTCTAGTCAATGAGTTGAAAGGCAGGTGTTCCCCAAATTAAGGCCTTTCTAAAAAAGGGATGTTTGTGCCTGAACACCTATCTGTTACCATTGAAGTATCCTGCAGAAGGCAGACTGAAAAAGTGCTGCCTTGGAGGCAACAGAGGTGTCTATGTAGAGACGGAGGTTCATTTCCCAGTAATTCTGATAAAGTGCCTCTAAGCTGAGAGAGGACGGTCTCCTTTGGGTTTTCACAGTGCTGGGTGCAGAGAAAACCTGTCCTAAGAAAACAGGAAACACTCAAATCTCCAGGTAAAACTTCTTTGGATTGTTTTACACCACTACTTGTGGCACCGTCCTCACTACCACTGATGTCTTTGGGGTGCTCTTCCAAGACATCTGCATCTGCCAAGTCGAGCTAAGCCAGGTCTCTGTGCATGAGACATATGCTTCAAAGTCACAGTAGAATGTGTCCTTGAGTGTCCTGTGCTTTCCCCCAGGAAAAGGTGGGAACTAGGAGTTAGCAATGGGAGCTGGACTAGCTGTTGTAAATACTCTCTCTGGCTGGGAAATAGTCTACGATTTTCCTCTCAACCTCCCCTCATTCTTCCCTCCAGGGGCATCAGGGCGGCCTGATATTCTTTTTTTTGGGAGATGCACCCAGGCACGGCAGATGGCGACACATTGCACCTCTGTGTGCACAGACAAGTCGCAGGCAGCATTCAGGAGTGCGAGTAGGAACCAGTGCATCTGTGTGAGGAGCTAAGATGCTGGCACAGGGGAGAACTGGGGGTAGGGGTGAGGGGGAAGAAGCAGACTCAGCTTAGGGGCTTGTCAGCAGGCAGCTGGCACTCAGAATCCTGTGCCTACCAGCTGGATTTAATGCTGGTTCAAGTCAGCATGTGTTGGAAGACTTCAGAGAATTGCTGCCCACAGGGCACCCCATACTTATTGCCTAGAATTACTTTACGATGGTGGAGAATGGTAGGCAAGGTCATGTGGGATTGCGCACTGTCCAGGGAGAGACTTCAGTCAGGAACATTCAGTATGTGTCACTTAAGTGGAATCAATGAAATTGAACAAGGTCGTGGTGAGATCTCTGAAGTATTTTCAGAGATCATGTAATTACAAAAGTCCATTGGATCAGAAAAGCTCACAATGACCTTATTCAACATTCATTTCCCATTTCTCAGAATACATTTTAGTGAGTGGAATGAGCAGAAGATTCTAATCATCAGTGAATGCAGAAGGGAGGGGTGGGGGAGGGGAAGGCTTGGTTGCTTCCATCTCCCCGTGTGTCCTTCCCTCTGCACAGCTCAGTGTTTACAAAGAAAGACAAGGACACTGTCAACAAAGGCTGCCTTGTATTGGAGCTTGATAGAAAAGATCCCAGGGGTCAGCTGTTCCCAAGAGAAATCAATGAACTAGGGCATCTCACCCCTTTTTAGCTTTGGTCTTTTGAGAACAAATACATTTGCTCTATGCAAAGAAAATGGCTGCTTGATAAGACCAAAGCTAAACCACTGAGAAAATGTTAACTTCCTTAATAAATCCTTATTAAATGGAGTGGATAGAAGAGAAACCAGGCTCTGGATAAAAGAGTGGGATGAATGATTTAGAGCTTCCATGGATGTTTTCCCTGTGAATGTAATACAGGGTGTCAAAGGCAGGACAGGAATACAATATTTTTGTCATTTTAATAATGTTGCACTGATGAAATAATGTTGCACTGTGGAGGAAGGAGCGTCTCCTGCAGAATTCCTGTGAGCACCAATGTCTCTTAGGCTCTGTTGCCCTCTGGCTGAGCCCAGGAGTTCAGGCACTGGCTCCTGGCATGCCCAGTCCACCAGGGAGAGGGGGACAGCCTTAAGCTATCGGAACAACTGCTGGTGGAAGTTTGGCCAGGCTTGCCTCGTACTGTTTATTCAGAGGATGTCTCCAGAGGTCTCTCATCAGATAAAATTTCCTTTTTTCTAAGATTCGTAATGTGAATGTACAATTATCTTAGTACAGTCACTGCTATTCTACTTAGCAGATATGTAACCTCTGACAACACAACAAAAATTGTGACTGACTTTGGATTTTATGTATGTCAAATTTCAATCATTTACCATATTTAGCAAATGTGTTCTCTTTAAACTAAAAACATAAATATGAAGTAAAAAAATGGTGGGTGAGAAAAGATAGACAGTGAGATGATATGATCAAGGGTTCTCATCCCCAATAATCTGACCTCTCACCAGAACTCCCCACACTGACCTAGGACAATGCCAGGGTACCACTGACACCCCCAAAGCCAGCTTTCTGTTAACAGACACCTAGAGAAAAGGTTATAGCAGTGAGTTGGCTTAACGACCAAATCTCTCAATTCTTTACTAGTCCACATTAGCTTGACCCAGGTGAAGGAAGAAATTTGCTTTCCTGGTAGGTTCAGAGACCCATGACTTGGTTTAGTCATTGAGTGCACTGGTGCATTAAATTGAGAAATTTCTCCTATAGTTCTCATGAACAGTAGTCAGCTAATGATGGAAAATTCCCACTACAGAAAATGTGCTGCCTTATAGGACCACCACTGGGAACCTTGCATTATAGAGAGTTTATCATTTTCAAAAATATATTAATTTTATTTATTAATGCACATAAGAGCAAGGATAACAGGTGTGGCCAGAAGTGTGGGTGCGGGGGATGAGAGGATTCACCAGAGTCAGAGTAGGGAGCAGAACAGGCAGACTGACGAAGTGCACTGCTGAGGGGAGCAGCAAGTGAGACCGGAGAGGTCTGCTGTGCCATGTGGGTCACCTTCCTGGCCAGGGATCAAATTCATGTTGCAGTGGCTGTGGGTAGCTTCATAGTGCTGAGACTTCACCCCTTATTACACCAGGGAGGGGGCCTACAGAGTGTTTATCTTAAACACAATAAGCTTACTCCCTGCAAAGTCTACATACCATTTTCAGTACTTCTGCCATAAATAATACAAGATGGATATGGTCTCTCTTTGTGTCCTGAGAGCTAGTCACCTCTGAAGTCCTCTTTAGGTCTAAAGGATCTCCTGTTTTTTTTTTTTTTTTTTTTTCCCATGTAAACATGCATGCTGCTGTGATCCATGCTGTCCTCAAGAGGTAACTTCACAGAATGTGAGTCCTGTCACCTACCTCAATTCATGTCACTACTATTTAAGGCCTAAGCTTTTATTCAGTTCTGCATGGATTTGATTTGCTGAACAACTTATGGGACAACAGCCCAAACTCACCAGTCAAAATCGGCCTCGGTGCAGACACAGGGCTCAGATTCCATAGCTCCTGCATATTTTCCTTGCATGCATTTCCGCTCTGACTTTCGTTTCTTATATATCCTTTTTGCTCCCATGATGCATGCTTCCCCCTATAAGGACACAAGTGTCTCATGAAGTCGGTACAGCCACAGAGCTGTCTAGCTCCACATCAGGATGGTTCAGGGTGACATCCTCAAACTTCAGTGTCATCTGGACCTGGGTAACCTACTTGGCTAACAGTGTTTATTTTCAAGCTCTAGAGCTCTATTTTAAAATTTTACTTTTTTATGCTTACAGAATTGGGGTACAGGCCAGAGGTATAGGTGTGAGAGGATCACCAGAGACAGAGTAGGGAGCAGAACAGGCAGATTGACTGAAATACACTGCTGAGGGGAGCAGCGGGCAGGTCAGGAGAGGTTTGCTGTGCCATGTGGGTCAGCTCCCTGCCCAGGGATCGAACTCGTGCTGCAGTGGCTCTGGAGAGCTTCAGAGTGCTGTGCTTTAACCTGTTGCACCATTAGGGAGTAGAGCTCTATTTTAGAATGTTTCTAAAGGTAATCCCAGGAAGCACTAAAGACATGCCAAAAAAAAGCCCTGGATTTCTCTGTGTCCGTTAAACCATTACTTGGCAAGGTATCAGGTGCAGGACTGCGAGGGAAACCAGGCAACTAAGGCTCAGCCCACAGCGAGTGTACTGCCAGCAAATCTGTAGTAATTAAGTGCAGTTCTGTCATCAAAGTTGTATCGATTTCATCATTTATGACTATAGGAAAGAAGAATATTGCTCAGAAATATAAAGATCTATTTTGCATGAGTTTATTATACCTCTGCCCACACAACTTTCATAGCACCGATTTTATGTTGGTCTGCCACATAAGGAGGGACTCAATTCAGTATTTCTCTACACAATATATAAAAGCTTTGAATGTGGCCACGCACATGCATCCCAAAGGGGAAATTATCAGCTAAGTAAATGAGAGATTATAGCTGAGACTCTGAATAAAGTGGATGTTTCTAGCTGATGCGCCCCAACCCTCCCCCACCCCATCACACACATTGTCTGCGTTTCTGAAGGACCAGAGCAGAGTTTTGTTTAAGCTAAATTCAGTCTTTCTTGAGCAAACTCACCTTAACAGGCAACACTGCACCTCCACAGGCAAATATATTAGTAATTTAAGTTTGGGGGTACACTTTGTCCCTGCCAAAATGTGGGGGTAGCTTTACAGAAAGAATCTCAACTATGTCATTTAGGGGAGCCTCAGGAAGATTTCTGCCTTGGGAAATCAAAGGAGAGCTGCCTTCAGCCAGCATTTTGAGCTGGGCTGACACGTGGAGGCCAGGATAAAGGGGCTTTCCTAGTAATAATTCTGTATTCTTGTACTGTAAGTGCCTTGGGAAGAGTCAAGAAAGACCACCTAGTTGCAGGAATCACAGTGGGGTGGTGGAACAGCTTCTTGGGCATTGCTCACCCAGCATAATTCAGTTATTTTCTGCCTCTGTTTGCAATGCTAAATAAAATTGAAGATGTCTCCTTCCCCTTACCATAGCTTCCCCCTCCCCCTGCAGCCATATGACAAGCTCAGATAAATTATGTTTGGATTTCTGTGCTGAGTTGGTATTTCATTTGAGTTGTAAGTCTAAGCCAAGCACATTTGAATTTTATCTCATTATACCCTGGTACAATAAAAACAGGAATGGCTTCACAACAAATCATAAGTGTTGAGCTTGTTCACTGCTGTAGAACACAAAATATGTAAGAAAGCATGAGATGGACATTTTAGCTCAGGAAGCCTGGTTCCAATAGTTTAGCATCGAGCTTTCCCTGACACACCCCATGCTTCCCGCCAGCACTCGCTCCGCTCCTTGGCTCCTACCTGGCTGTGTAGCTGCCAAGGTCTGTAGTCCTCCTCGGCACATCGTCTATCAAAGATGGACTTGTAGTCCACTTTAACCAGCTGCCATTCAGAGCGGTGACTGAAGTGTCCAAATACGCTACAGAGGTCATCATGATCAAAACACACACACACACACACACACGAAGATAAGAACACTGACACTTATCAAACAGCTAGCATTTGCTAAGTGTTGAATGACCAGCTTCGCATAAAGCTAAGCATAATATGTTAAACATATCAATTAGTCTTAAAACAATTGTATGAGGAGGAAACTATTAAATATCCACTTTCATATGAGTAACTTGAGGGTCCAGGAGTTAATGAGCAAAAATCAAAGTTGAATCAAATTTGAACTGTTTCACTCAGAATCTACCACATAAACAGACAGCTGCCCCCAAAAATGATCAAGAAAATCACAAACACCGCACCCTACATGGTCCAAGATTATTCTGCTCGGCTCTCTTGTTAATGCACATGGTGTCCAGGGTTTATGCTATTTTTACTTTCCCACCAATCCCTAGGGAAAGTGGGTGGCACAGCCGATAGTGACACTGAGCTTTATACTCTGCTTACAGAGACCGAGTATTTAATGAGACATTGCAATCACCAGCCAGAGGTGTAGAAAAAAGCCACCGAATGGCCTTTTTGGTTAGTTTTTCCACTAGTATTTTATAAATATAAAATCTGTATGAAGACAAATTATGGAGTAAATTGCTAATCTAGCAATATTTAGCCTGAGCAAATGAGTAGCTATCACGCATACTAACATTTTGTTGATCTTGTCTATCATTAAAAAGAAGGAACAAAAAACGTAGAAAATATATCAAAGAATTCATTCACTTTGATTTTTAAAGTTTCATTGATTACAGGATCAACTGCTTTCAAACATTCCCTCTCTGATTTCTATGTCCAATTTTCCAAAAGAAAAAAAAAATCACCATCTCATATTTCAAATTCAAAGCTCATGTTTTGAAAACCATAGGCAGGCAAGTCATTAATCAAGCCTTTCACAAATTAATGATCATCACTTTCCAGACAAGAATGAGCGCAAATGCAATTTTCCAAGAACAGATTGTTCTCATGGTTTTCCTAATATGCCTCACAATTGGGTTAGGTAAAGAGCCAGGAAAAATAAAATCCTTTGTAGGACTTTGATCAAGCACCATATTTTGTTTTAAAGTGAAATCATTCTTATATGCCTATGATTTTCTGCATATTTTTATTACTAAAGTTTTAAATTTGTAACTTCATTTTCTATTGAAATGACCACTTCTTATTTCCCTAAACCAATTTAAGATAGGAAGAAATAAGTTCGGTTCTTTTTTGCTACCACCCCTCATTATTAGTATTACCACCCCTAATAAGTAGTGAAGACCCAAGAAACAGCTACCTACATTTGTCCTTTCTCTGTACCAAACTAAGTAGACTTAACTAAAATACATCCTTTGGGATTAAATGCATGGCTAGAAAACATCGTAGTTTTCTACTTACGTCATGATTAGCGTCTCTTCCCCAGGCTCACCCAGAACCCCATCCACAAAAAGTGGAATAGATGTGAAACTGTATTTGCTCCAAGATCTCCCCTCATCAAAACTCAACCTAATGACAGAAAAATTAACAGTCACTGGATCTCAAAGGAAAAATAAAGACCCTTTCAAAGGAAAGATGCTATCAATCAGGAAAGCATACATTTCAAAAGTACTGTGGCATTGCCAACATGAGCCTTTCATACAACTAAATGTTCTTAATTACCAGCTAACTAGTAATACATAGTTAGTGGAGTTAATTTGGCACCCAGATGTGTTACAACAACAATATGGGGAGAGAAGCATGACATGGGAAGAATAAGCCTTTGATTAAAAATAAAATGGATATTTCATTAGACCTTAGATCTCAAGGTAACCCTTCCCAAAACTCACTGGAAAGGGGCAGCAAGACTCGCAGGTGATTCTACAGAGCAAGGTTCATATGAAATTTACTTCATCAGAACTCAGCCAGTCACCTCTCAGTGACAAAGCCCTGTGCAGTGTCCGTCCCACACTTCCTAAGTCTCAACTGACACTCTCAGAGAATGGATTTAGGACAGACTCCTGGGGGTCAGAGGGGATGAGGCTGAGACTCTGGAGGTCCCGGATGTCTTCTGCTCTCACTTCCTCTATGGATGCTTCCCCCCAGCTACGCCCATTTCTTTCTTACACAGCAGCTTTCCCTTCAGTACCCAATGAAACTAACACTGGAGGAGAAACCAGGTTTTTATTTTGAACAAGCTCACACATGGGGAGTCACTTTCAAAATCGCAGATGAAGCAATCTATCGGAAACCCCTCTGGGAGTCAGGTTTTGTGGGCCCACCTGGGGAAGACCTATAGGGAGAGTTGTGAATGTCTCCCCCGGCCCCAAAGGAAGTAGGATCAGGAGAAATGGGAGAGGAGAGGAGCAGAAGTGTCAGGAACTGCTAATTTCACCACAAAATGCATATAACATGTAAATACTGAATGCCAGAGATGTTCCTGGGGAAAGAGGACTGCAAGATGTTAAGCTACTCAGAGACAGGACATGGCACACCATTCTACCCCTACCCATGATTCCACGGAGAGAATAAGGTACTGAGGAGGTGACTGTCATGTTTGCAAACCATAAAGAATACCTCGGGGGCAGAAAAAATCTTCTTCCCTCTTCCTCACTTCTCCCTATTTTCCTTCTTCCCTCCTCTCTCATTCCAGCTTTTTTTCTCTATCTTTTGTGAGACTGCAGGCAACATTATTATTTCAATAGCGCACAAAAAGCCATTATATTGTAGTCAGTGCTGGCATTTTACTACAGTCAGTGTGCTCAGTCTGGCTCTTAGACCGGTCTCAGGGAGGTGTCCTGAGGACTCAGGTACAACGGGGGTCTTTACCAGAGGTGTCGAATCGGGAGGGAGGTGTGCTTCATAGCAACCAGTACGCCACCTTGATCCAAATACAGAACACTGTGCTCTTCTTCAAAGATCTGAAAGAGGACACACATCCATGGACACATCTCCACAGCCACTCACCCGAGTGAAAAGAATCTGCCTTCACAGAGAGAGAAACCCTCCTCTTGATAAAGCTAGGATTCCCCAAATCTTTGGGAATATACAGCTACAAGTAATGTTTCACAAGGTAGATTACAAGCACCACAGGTGCTATAAGAAGTGATTCAAGGTGCACCACCGTAGGAATGTAAGAACCAATAGCTATGTAGTCATGTTTGTATTCTAAAGACTCCCATTATTTACAATAATGTGAGAATATTGGTAACTGTCACACTGGGTAACAGTTTTATTTATTTGTCTTATTAAGGCAATTCTGGTTTATAACTTTGTATATGATTCAGACGTATAGGTTTTTTTTTTTTAAGATTTATTTATTTGTGCATACATAGGGTGCAGGCCAGAGGCTCAGGGGCGGTGAGAGCTTTCACCAGAGACAGAGCGGGGAACAGAACAGGCAGATCGACAAAGTACACTGCTGAGGGGAGCAGCGGGCGGGTCAGGAGAGGTCTGCCACACCATGTGGTCACCTTCGGGGCAGGCGGGAATCAAACTCATGCAGAAGCAGCTTTAGATTCTCAGTGCTGTGCTTTAACCTGCTGCACCACCACAGAGGGCCCATATAGGATTTTAATGGAAAAAATGTTAGAGACATTTTACTCCAACATTTAAATTTTTACAGATGAGCAAAGTTAGCCTTAGAGAGATGTGGTGACTTCCCTAGGACCACATATGGTAATTGCTGGAACTCATACTATCAGTGTCCTTTCAGATTTGTTGTTTCAACGTTTCCAGTGTTACACAGGAGAGGTGTTCTTATTCGAAATATAGATTCTTTATCAAGTCATCAAGTAGTTTTGATCAAAATGTAAGCATCATATATGGGTGCATGTGTCACTGAATCTTTCTACAAATGTGGAGAAACTAGTCTGGAGTAAAATGGAGGCAGGCTAGAAACAACTTTTAGATGTTCTCTCACTGCCACTGTTAGTATAACCTTGTTGGACTTACACAGGAGACTGAATCTTTCCAACAGTTGTTTAGTTCTTATAGTCAAGTGTACCCCAAGCCTATAGAAGCAGAGACTTTGTTTTGCCTGGGGTATTAAAAGGAAAATAAAAGCTGGGATCTTGGCTCCTATTCTCTAGAGAAATCTGACTGTCCATATTCCTAGTACCTATAGTAGCAATTGCCTTGTATTCTGAAGCAAATTTCTTTTCTGGCCATGTTCTCAAAATGCACAAATCACACTGAGGATAGATGAAGGTGTGAAGTCAGGAAACAGTCAGTGGATCATACTAGGGATGTCTCTGTTTCAAAAAAAACAAAAATTTTAAGGATTTATTTATTTGTGAACAGAGCTGGGGTATAGACCAGAGGCTCAGGGGCTGTGAGAGGCTTCACCAGAGACAGAGTGGGGAGCAGACCAGGCCGACTGATGAACTACACTGCTGAGGAGAGCAGCAGGCAGGTCAGGAGAGGTCTGCAGCACCATGTGGGTCACCTCCAGGTCAGGCGGGGATCGAACTCATGCAGAAGTGGCTTTAGCGTCTTAGTGCTGTGTTTTAACCTGCTGCGCCACAAGGGAGGGCCCTTTCTGTTTTTTTCATGGCTGTATGACTACTGGCACATTAGATTTCGATTTATGGTGCTACTTATTGTATGATAATTAAACGTCAGTGGATTATTAAAACATATTTATTGAAGTGTAACAACCATGCATTAGGTACATTCCTTGTTATGATTGCTAAACCTCATTAAGCACCTATTTTATAAGCTATGGATATCTAATGTTCACTCAGAAGAAAGACAGAAAGCATTTACGCTAAACACTTCGGTAAAGTGATTCCATTTTTGTTTTCTCTAACATATGCACCCTGATGGTTATTAGTCTGTCTTTTGCACATGAGATTTAAACATCTCAGAACACCACCTGCGTAATGGCTATTTCCATATCATTCAACTTCTTTCTATTCTGACTATAAGGCAAGAAGGATTAATGTGGCAGTTTCACCTTAGCTGGATGTTACCCTCCAGGATTCACACTCTCTATAAGTTAAACTCCCTGGGATTCTGGTTTTCATTTTGGGGAAAAACTCAGTCAGGTGAACTTTGTCTTCATTGTCATTAATAAATGTTCTTCTAACTTCTGAACAAATGTTTGTTTTAAATGAGCAATAAGAAAGGCAAACTTCACAAATATTTATTTAACTCAAAAACTTGTTGAAGAATCTCATAAAAAAAAAGGAAAAATAATTGGCAAACTTTAGGATTTATGTACAGTTACATAAATTCCCTAGTGAACTGGGTTGGGTGATTTCCATGCTACTTACACTTATGTGACTGGACCCAGGATAAGTTCTTACCTGCCTCCAAGTGTTCCCGGCATCTGAGGAGACAAACATGCTGATGTCGCTGTCTGATAATTCAGAACCGATGTTACCTGGAAAGAGCACACTCCATCAGGGGAGGGAACTTTCTGCAAAGGCTAACAATGGACTGTATTAGCAGACTGCATTGCCCGAGATGGATCCAGACAGTAAATAGTATATCTGAGTAGAGTGTTCGGCATACTTGATTCAGGGTCACTGGTTTAGGTATCTTTCAAAGATATTTTTAACTTGCTCATTAAGTTCCAAGCACAAATATCTAGCTTCTTAAAAGTAACCATCATTACAACAAGCAAGCCAGGGACACTTCTTACCTGAAGCCACGATGATGCTGGGAGCTGTGTCTCGGCTGGCGATGATCCCTGAAGTGTAGGGATTCTCAGAAACCTTAAGGTGAAGGTGTAGTGAACAATAGGGCTGAAAGAAGAGAAACGTGTATCAGGAAAGCATGCCACCTAAATGATCACTTAATGAAGTCCAGATTCAGAGCGTCTACCCATCCATCTGTGCATCCACCGATCGCAGGCTTTCATTCTCCAAATATGTGGTGCCCACGAAGTATAGGACAGCTGCCAAGTTGGTAGTGGAGAGAGAACACACGCTAGTCTTCTGACTTAATTACCATAATGTGAAACAGTCACACTGACTACAATTTGACCTCCACCAGGACAAAGCAGAGGTCAGGGCAAATCAACAGCTGTTTTTTTTTTTTTTTAGATTTATTTATTTGTGCATACAGCACTGGGGTACAGGCCAGAGGCTCAGGGGCGGTGAGAGGATTCACCAGAGACAGAGTGGGGAACAGAACAGGCAGACTGGCAAAGTACACTGCTAAGGGGAGAAGTGGGCATTCAGGAGAGGTCTGCAGTGCCATGTGGGTCACTTCTGGGGCAGATGGGGATCAAACTTATTCAGAAGTGGCTTTAGCTTCTTAGCGCTGTGCTTTAACCCTCTGCGCCACCAGGGAGGGCCCAAATCAACAGCTCTTACTGTTGATTACCATAAGGGATTCAATACAGATAAAACATCAAATTCTAGAGGGTGAAGGGAAAGATGGCCATTTTGGAAAGGGGAAAGTTCAAGAAGAAAATAGTGCCTGAGACAAAAATAGGTAAGAGATGAAGCACAGACCGGATGCCCAGGATTTCAAGTTGAGTCATATCAGTAACCAGAGAAAAGGACATAGAGGTGAGCGCTGATACAGTACGTGGCCAGTGGGCCTGGGGGAGGAGGCAAGGGTAAGGTGTAGTGAACAACAGGGTTGATTCAGGAGATTCAGGAGCGAGGGTTGCCTCTGAAACTGGAAGGCTTTGAAGAAGTCATCTGACATCTTAATTACTCCATTCGGGTCCTTGGTCTCGGCTGTACAGGAGATCTGATGAGCTATGAAATGGTCCCAGGCAGACAACAGACACAGAGTCAGCACACAACCAGAGTCACTATTATTTAATATAAAAGTCATACTTGTTGACAAAATGCACTAGCAATAACAACTTAAATGAAAGTTTACGGGACTTATTTATGTGTGCCTAACAATCTAGATCAAATTTTGATTGAGATAGCAAGTTTTCAAAAACAGGACAATAAATCTTATATGAATTTCATTTAAAATAATTCCTGTGCCAAGTTGTCACAACTACAAGTTTGTGTTTGAACCCAATTTCTTTTCATCTCTCAGGAAGATTATTTTCTAATCTTATCGACTTGAGTGTTTGGAATCATCCATGTATCTCTGTTATTACTTTTATTCCGCTCTGTGAGTCTCAGCCAGCAGTTATTCAGAGAGCTAGAGAGATACAATGATTAAATTTATATAGGATGGAGTAAATTACAAACTAAAAATGAAATTCAGGAATAGAAGCAGTCAAAACACACTGAGGTAAAAATAACGGCTCACCGTTGGGTCCTTTCCCCACCACCAACACAAGAGAGTACAACAGAAAAACAATCACAGTAATGGATTAGTTAGCTCGGCAAGAAATTTTCATGGAAAGCTTTCCAAAACAGGAATTTTACTTTTCAATGTCCCATAAGAGTGAGAAATGAAATGCCTTTAAGAAACTGGCTGACCCAAACACTTGGCTTCCATATGACCAAGGAGAAGCCTAGAATGGGTAATGTTCTCTGTAGTTAGGTCCCAGGACAAGGCACCCAACATTCAGGCAGACAGAGCAGAGTCAAACCGGGTTGCCATGAAAGCTTTCGTGACAAGCCCAGACCACCAGGATCTCCCCTTCTCTGATCTACACCAGTCAGTTTCCCCTGCACGATCCTGTATTACCTAACCCAGTTATTTATAGTTTTATCTCTCTCAGAGACACCTCTACAAATCAGAAGATATCAAGGATGACTTTGCCTCTTCTGTGGAACCTCGTGTAGACTTCTAGAAGGTTGACAGGAAAAGCCTGAAATAAGTATGAAACCATGCTTTTGTTTTGGAACATGGAAGACCTTACCATTTTGCTCAGAATAAGAGCAGCGACACCTGTTTTATTTGTAGATCACATAATCAGAGTGATGTGAGTATCTCCATGGCTTTCCAAAAAAGACATCACTCTTTGGGCATCTTGCCCAGACATACAGCTTTATGGAGGACTTCTGGTGACCCCCACCCCCAAACAGGAATCCCTGGCCCCGGGAGCAGCACCCAGTTTTCAGTCTTTAGCCAGCCACCAAGCACGTGCTGTTCACCACCCAGCAGCCTGGAGGACAGTGAAGCTCAGCTACCACCTGAACCCAGACCTATGTGACATGGAACACTTGCCATGACAAAGAAAAGGGAGTGCTTGCAATTGGTCAATTTGAGAAGAAAAAGTACCAGTTCATACAGTAGCAACAGCACTAGAAATGATCTTTTTGGTGTACTTTTTTCTCCTCTCTCACATTTGTAGTACTGGATTGCCCCCAGCTGGTACAAGAAGAATATTCCATGATTTTTTTTTTTTTATTATTTCTTTCGTTATTTTAAAAAAAAAAAGTTATGTAGTCAACTTCCATGTTTGAAGAACAATGAAAACAATTCATCTTCCCTTTTTTCAACCATGAGTTTTGTACCTGATCAGTTTTGGATACTTGTCAGAATCAAGTCACCAGTTATGAAGAGAGCTGTCCGTAATGGCTGTGCATCCTGTGCCAACTCCAAAGGACTTCTAAGTTGCAGGCACATTTTCCCAATAAGGGGCACTCTGTCCACTCCCCTCCTTTCTGCCTGCCTCGTTAACTCCCATTAACATGTGCCCAGTATCCATGTATCTTTCCAAAGTCACCTCCAGTTCAGTAGATGCAAAGCACAGCACATCTCAAAGGCACTCATCTTTTTCTCCGCCCTTTCCACATAAAGAAAATAGAGAAAACTATAATGAAACCTTAATGACCACGCAGGTGACTTGCTGAGACTAGAGACCAGCTGCTGTTTGGAAGCTACTCACAGAGTCACCAGAGAGTATCAATTGCTCAATTCTAGAAGCAACAAGCACCTTAGCCTGAAATCCTTTCAGGGTCCATTACAGAGTTTGGTGCAAATTAAACACTCTCTTCCAGAAAAAATACACCAAGGCAAGTGAGCACAGCTTTGCATTCAACCTCAGAGAATGCACATAGCCCTTCAGCTTATCATGGACATCTACATCCTAAATTTGTCTTTTAACAACAAAGGACTTCGGATGTTGCAAGTGTTCAGTAAATATCCGTGGATGTAATCAATCTATTGACCAGCTACTCTCCCTAGGACTCCGGGTAAATGAATAATTAATAAATAGACATTTGCCCACCATGAAATAGATCAACATATAAAGATAATTTGACGGTCACTGTGTTTCTGATACTACTTCTTCTGCCCCCTACCCTAATTTCTGTACTAATAGCCTTTCTATCTCATTTCTGCGATCCTTGATCCCTCGGGTCCCAATCTGAGTACAGTGTACTGAAAAACCAAATCAGAGCTCAAAAAATAATTAAGCAGATGCAAATTTCCAAAGTGTGTCCCTTGTCTCACGCCCCCTTTGTTTCTGACTCAGGTATGTTGCTAGAAGCTCTTCAGCAAAGGATCAGTGACAAAGAACAGGGAGACCCCTGGACCCACTGTTTGAATAGGGATATCTAACTCTGCTCCACCAGCGCAAGTGAGTCACAGCCTGAGCAAAGGAGGCAGAGAGCAGAGTTGAGGATCCTCTGGGGGTAGCTGGTTGTTCAGCTCCAATAGCAAACAGCCAGCTGAACCCATAATGAAGTCACTGCTCTCTCCATCAGACACTATGCTTCCCTCCGGGCCAAGGGTTTGTCACCAGCTCAGCTCACATCTCACCTCCTGGGAGCCCAGCCCTAAGGTTCGGAGGCAGGTGGACTGTGCCCTGTAAAACCCCAGCTAATTGCGCAATGCAGCCTTCAGAGGAAAGAAATCCCAGCTGGGCTCTCCAGGCAATCAGTCTAAAAGTCCTAAAAAATGTAGCCCCAAATTACCCTGGATTCTTATTTCTATAGAATACATTTTACCAGGAAAATTCCAGTTGGGGCTGTAACTCTGAATTTGTTCCATATTTGTAACAGCGCTGCTGAAAATCTCTTTTCTAATCACCAGGCTGTGCTTTCAGTGACGCTGTCACTTTCCAAGTACTCACAATCTAAAATCATTTTTTATCTCCTTGCTGCCACCAGCTCCCAAGCCAAAGGTTTTTAACAGTCGTGGGTCGAATGTAGCTCAAAAATTTTCTTCCCTTTTGTTATTTTACTCTCTTCATCCTCCTGCCTGGTTTCTAAAGCTCAAATTGAAACTACACTAAAAGGCAGGGTTAATGAGGAAGGGGGTCAAAGGACTCCTAGGTACCATGTCTATCTCCCATGAATTCATCTTACTTCAGTCTTAATGAGTCTACTGACTTTGTTAACTTTGGGGTCAACTTAAGTCCATGAGTTTCCGGGATACTATGACAAACCCTTCCAGATCACTGTCAATGGCAAGGAAAATTTCAAAGGTAAAACCCAAACAACACTTGTCAATAAAGCAACTACTTCAAACAAGCACAGTATCCTTAGTAACAGCAGGACCTACCAGGCTGGGAGAGTACTTGCAGCTGGTTGTTTGGAGGAACCAAAGAGCCACCTTCCCTAGGCTCACAGAGCCCACACTAGCGAAGGAGATGGCCACAAAGGTCAACAAATACATGCAGGAGTTTCAGAGGATGCGGGCTCATGGATAAAAAATTACAACGAATACAACTTTGCAAAATGCTCTCTGAGATGAACTAATCAATCAAACAGGGATATGAATGCCAAACAAGGATCTGGATGCAAGAAAAAGTTGGACAAGAAGCGTGTTTTAAGAGAAATCATGGCAAGTGCAGAGAGCCTAGAGAGTGGAAAGGAAAGAAGCACCCGCCTGGGCCACCCTGGCAGATAAGGAAGAGAGAGGCGATAGGGTGGAGACCAGCCAGGGCTGGAGACGGGGCTGGAGCACTGCCCCCTGCAGGTTTCTTTGACTCTATTCTACCAGACTCAGAAAGTCATAGAAGGATTAAGTAAAGAAGGGGCGGCTCTGAATATTTATAAAGTTCCAGTTGGTTCCATCTACAATTAGAAAACAGACCTCATGGCTAGTAAAGAAAGCACATTAGTGGTTGTTCATGCAGGGTTGTGGAGCTTGATGAAAAAGGGAGAAAAGAAATTTCTTAGGATGATGATGAGAGAGTGATTACATGGGCAGAAACACTCGTGAAGAGTCACAAAATGAGTCTCTTGTCTGTGGCTGCTTTTAGTGTATTATGCCTTAATAAAACTGGATTAAAAAGTGAGTTTAATTGACTGCTGGGTGGACAAGAGATGACCTGGTAGAAACTGGAGGGCCAGTTAGGGGTCTCTTCCCAGAAAAGGAAAACGGTGACTTGGGTTAGGATGAGGCCGTGGAAATGGAGAAATCAGCGGACACTGCTTTATATTTTGGAGGCACCAAAACAGGACTTCCTTAACTCTGGGCTGTGGGGAGCTGAGGAAGAAGGCCAGGAAACACTTTGCAAAGTACTTTGAATAGGAAGCATTTTTTTTTTAAAGATTTATTTATTTATGCATACAGAACTGTGACACAGGCCAGAGATATAGGGGTTGTAAGAGGTTTCACCTGAGACAGAGTGGGGAGCAGAACAGGCAGCTCATTGAAGTGCACTGCTGTGGGGAGCAGCGGGCAGGTCAGGAGAGGTCTGCCGTGCCATGTGGGTCACTTCTGGGACCAGGAATGGATCTGGAGCTGAAGTGGCTTTAGCTTCCTAGTGCTGTGCTTGAACTCGCTGTGCCACCAAGGAGGGCCATGGGAAGCATTTTTCTGGCCCATTTAGGATACCAGATTGCCCAGAGGAAGTCTTTTTAGGTGACATAATTATTTGACTTTCATGGCACTTAGTCTCCCCAGTGCATGGTGGGATGGAGGATGATGTTGAGGCATCTCTGGCTACACATGACATTCCAACTTGGGGAAGCTGAAGCAGGAAATGGCTCTGCTTTGTAAATGCTGCTGAGCTAAGGCATTCAATAAATAAACCCTGCACTTACTTCTCTATCACTGGCTGGATCTGTTTACTTACTACACCACTGGCTTCCTCCCTCCCCCCGGTCAACACCCACTGCCTCTCGTTAGTTGCCAGTAATAAGGGTGGAAGCTAAGCGGGAGGCTGAATCTCAAGACAGCTTCCCTAATGCACAATGACAACTGTGACATCCTCTGCAACTAATAAGGTCAAGCTATGGCTGCTGGCATCTTCTCAAATAGGAGGGCGACCTATGGACAGCTGTATGAGATGAACTTGTAAAGTGTTCGGAATTCATGGGAATCGAGGAAGCCCCTCTTACTAAAACTTAGAGATCTCCCCTCTGGTCTCTTACTGGTCTCTCTATGAATTTTAAATACAATTTCTAAATTGTTTTATGGAAATCAGGATTTAATTACACTGTGTTTTGTGATTAATCTCACCCTCAGCTTCTGTATTCACTCAGTGTCTATTCACGAGGCAAGTGTGGGTCAGGCATCAACACGACTATGAGTGAAACGTGACCTTATAATCGTTCACTTGTGGATGGAATCTTTCTCAAGTAGATGGGGTGTTTCTTGAAGAGATGACAATCTTTGATCTCCGTCTTGAATGCAATTGTGAGATCAAATACACAATTAAGTTTATGCTCATCTACTTATTTCCTTAATGTTAGACAACAACTAGAAGAAAGTCATATTTCAAAGCAGGGCCCAGCAGATTTTGTGAAGAGTCAGATAATAAGCTTACTTAATTGCATATGGAACATAAAATCATGGTCATGATGACTCATTTCTGCCATTGTAGAGCAAAAGCAGCTATAGAAAATAATGGAAGTGAATAAATAGGGCTGTCTTCCTATAAAACTTATCTAGAAAAACAGGGGTCCGGTTATATTTCCTCCTCAGGCCATAGTTTGCCAACACTGCCTTTACAGAATAAGACATCAATGATAGGATATTTTATAAAAAGTATTGACGAGGATTTAAAATTCAGTGGTTCTGTCTCACTTTTCTTTTTTGTTTTTGACAAATGTCTTTTGGAATATGATTAGACACTTCAGTTCATCATTTCTACAGATGAATGTATGCATCACAGATCTGTTACAGATTATTCCTAAGTAAGTCAGGGTGTGTACCCCAGCAGAGATGAAGCTACCCTATTCTCCATGAGGCCCTCAGCTGAACATGGGCATAACTGAGTGTCCTCGGAAGTGAGCAGGAATCTCACATGCTTCGTTTCTTTCATCACTTGGGCTGGGCTCCACACAAAAATCAGCATGGTGACTCTTTCTCATACAGTCTTCACTCTCTCCTCTTTTGTTCACTAACTGAGCAAGGAGTCCTGGGACCATCTGTGTCCGCTTGTTTAACCTACCTCCCAGGGCTCCGCTGTGTGGGGCATTCTGCTCCGAGAGAAGACTCACCAGTAAGCAATGCACAGGGTCTCCCCTTAGGTCCGTGTCTGGTGCCTGCAGCAAACGCCAGTCTCTGCCTTTGTTGTATGTGATGAAGGTCTTCACTTGGTTGTCAATCTTCTTGTTAGCCAAGAACATTCCCTTTATCCCTGCTACCTAGGAAAAATTGACATGGCTGAAAAATTCATCTATGGGAGAAGGGATGTATTTGCTTATTTAAAACAAAACAAAACAAAACAAAAAAGTAGGCGGTTGTGTTCATCAGTGAACACTTATTTTGGCTGAAAGACAGCGAGGATAAGGGAAGGAGAGATGCTGAAGAGTAAGGACGCTCTGGGCTGTGGGACAGAAAGCAGTGAGTGAGGGCCCCCAAGTGTATGGGGGTCACAGTACAAGTCTAGACACTTTTTATTTCCTCTAAGGTAGGCTGAGTCCCTCAGTTTGCAGGTGATAAGAGATGAACTGTGCTATTGTCAATTATTTCGTTTGGTAGATGATAAACAAATAGAGGCTAATTTTATCTTGTAGTCAGCATGACACTCCCAGTTTTAAGCATTATATCTTGCAATAGACCTCTGGGGTAAGTTATTCTATTGTGAAAATTTATCCGATTTCATGGGTAGAGAATCTAAGGCCCATCCAAATAAAATGACTTGCTTAAGTTCATACTGTCTAAGGACTCAGAAATGAAGCAGCAGGTCTGGGATTTTAATGCAAAACTCTGGCATCATAGCCCATGTTCTTAATGTCTGTTTAAATTATTGAGCTACCTACAGGCTTAGGCACTTGAAAGAGGTCAGTTAAGGCTCATGATTCAATTACCATCGCTTTTGTTTTGTAAAAGATTGCTCTATTAAGCCACTGAAATATACTGGACAAAAGGGAACAGGTTTAAAATGTAAAGAAGCAGTGGTTTTCCCAAATTGCCAAATATTCTCTCCACTCCAGTAACATTAGTGCCCCCACTCTAAATAGCCCTTATTAATGATTTAGCCTTTGAAAATATTATTGTCTTCAATCGTTGATATATTGGAAAGTAACAATAAGTTGCCAAGACTGTGCAATAACAACTCATTAAGTGTGCATGAATTGTTTCATGCATTTCAGTTTATTAGAGACATTTATTCATTTATATATACACACATATACATAGTCTGCTTGCTATTATGACAATGAGGGAAAATGTAAGAAGGAAGGACAGGAGCTGAGGGGTTGTATAGACCCTTTCTACACTACACATATCTCATTTAGTGCTCCCAGTAACCATGAAATAGTTTTCATTTTGAGATGTGGAAGAAGTGAAAACAGATTAAGTGACTTTCTGTTGCACCATGGGGTGAGTGAATAAGCTAGCAAGCTTATTTGAACAGTTTGGCTTAAGTCAGACCTTTCATAGCATAATATGGGCAGTTATAAGCAGAAGCGTGAAGCCATGCCTGCCATCTTTCCAGGCTTTGGTTGGTGGCAAGCATTCCACTCAGCACTTTATGTGTGAAAACCCCAGTATCCACGGCCAAAGTGCATCACAACTCATATCCCTATCATTTGGGTGAGGAAACTAAAGTGTACCCCAAGCTTAACTGCTTAAGATAACAGAGTCTAGGTTGCCACCCAAATCTGTCAGACTTGTGCTATCCTTTCCATGAGCTCTCATTGTGTCACTGTGAAAGGGCAGGGTTCCTGTCAATAGAATACACACGACTTGCCTTTGCTTTGACACAGTCAAACCTCATTAGTTTGGACCTGCTGATTTGGCATCTGGGATAATTTAGAGTTGAGCCAACTTTGTACTCTTTGGGAACAGCAAGTTTGTGAAGCAAATGAATGGTTTAAATGAGTTGCTGGGAGAAATATTTTGAACTGTTTAGGAAAACATGTCTCATTTTGGGCCATCAACAGAAGCCAGAACAGCTTCTGCTGCACTGTGGATCCTAACAACACCGGGAGAGGTAAACTCTAGGAGCTCTTTACCTCCCAACAAGCCATGCTCAGTCACTCACTATACCACTCCAGAAGGACTGCTCCCCAGGAAACACCATGTTGGTTTTGCATATGTTCGAGAGGCAGCCACATATTTAAATATGACAACACTGCCCCTTCAAAAATTAAACTTCTTCAATCAGAATTTTCAAAGTCACACGTGTCTCCTCCTCTCTTGGTGCCCTATAGGAGAAGCGACATTGCCAGAGCTCCCCTGTACTCCAGGCAGTTACAGAAGGAGCTGAAGGGTTACAAGAACGACTTATTCCCATAGCTTCACTCCCCTTTTTCCTTCCTGCCCTCTCTCTTGGCAAGGGTGTCCGGGAGGGTTCTGCAGGTTTAGGAACTGGTTCGTTTGATTTGCAGAAGCAGTGACTTTACTGGCCTCCAACGGCTTGGCATTATCAAATGCCATTAGAGCCAGGGCTGCACTTTGTAATTCATCTCTGGCAGCCTGGCCTTCAGGTTTATCTTGAAGTATAAAAACTTGGCAAAGCAGAGGGGATGTGTGACAATAGGGGAGAGCGCTGGAGAGGCTCTGCTTATCCTCTTGCAGTCAAGGCACTGTACCGGGAAAGTGCCTTTATCATTTTTCTTTTTCTTCTTCAGCCTGCAAAGACAGTCTCGCCTGTTCTTTGTCTTTTTCTGCCATTTTGCTCAAAGCCCACGAGGTCCACCTTTCGGGGTGTCTCAGTGCAACACCTCTCCCTTAAGGGCTCTTTTGTAAATTCTCAGCATGTATTTCTTGGAGCCACTATCCCTTCCTGCAGAATTGTGGATATCATAGGAGCACTAGTGCCCAAAGTTGGAACATGTGTGGGAGCACAATGTGTGTGCACATGTATTCACACATGTGCTTGAGATCTGGGGCTCACTGAGGGTCTGGGGGTGTGTTTCTGTTTTCAGACACCATCCTATATCCACACTGTGTGCACATTTGGGAAATAGTGTGGGGCTGAGGGGTGGGTCAGGGTGGGAAAGTAACGTTCCTAACTGAAAGCAGGCCTCCGCATACAGTGTCCAAAGAAGACATTCTTATGGGACTACAGGCCTCACCACTGGGAGTTTGTCTTCCTTCAAGGAAAGACCTGTTCCCTTTTTGCCTTTCTGAATTCTGCACAAAGTTCTCTGAGAATGCTGAGCATGTTGGGAAGCCACTTTTGCCTTTCTGGGGGATTTAATACCGGAAGTTTCAGGTAATGAACAGTTACTTCTCAGTGCCCATTATCATCCAAGACAAAATATCATTTTGATTAGATTTGAGCTATGAGATTCTAGCTTCAAACCACAAGCCAACAAAAACCACATCAGTGCACTCAGTGGGCGCCAGACATTCTCAGAGCAGTACCCACTTCCCGTCTACCTGACTGACCCTCAAGGCCCTGCTCAAAAAGCCTTTTCTAGAGGTGAATATTTTTTTCCGATTATTCCCCTCTTCTTCTCTGTCCCACAGTGTGTTTCTAATATTGCTGTACCTGATAACTTACAAGCTTTCGAGGGCTTCTTGAGTACTCCATCCTGCTTCCCTCAGGCTGATTCATCAAGACTGAGGCTACTCTCCCCAGGTTCTCCTTCTCTAACCAACTTTTGGGTGGCCACTCAACCTGCCATATTCTTTTATCATTAAAAGTGATAAGAAAACAAGTCACTTTGTGCAAGAAGTCCTGGGTCTGTTTTTAATAAAATATACAGTAAAAACCCTGCTATAGACAATATAGTAAAAGCAACAGTATCCCATATTTATTGCACATTGCACTGTGTCAGATGCGCAGGGAAGACTTCACAAGCATGAGTTCATCAGTCTCCCCATGTACCCTGGACAGCAGTCAATGCTACCTTCATGCTATAAATGAGAAACTCAAAGTCTGGATGTAATCGATCAATGTGGCCAATCAATGCCCAAGGTCATTCCCTGGGGAGCCTGAGCGCTGAACTCCATGTCAGTGTGTCCAACTCCAGAGCCCATGTGCTTAACCCTTTAGCCACACTTTTCTTCAAACCTTCTCTCATCATACAGTGTTCTGTGAGCAACATCATAGAGGGAAAAGATACAGGGGACTATCTTTTACCCATGTTCCAGTACATCTAAGTAGCAGCTACTAGATTTGTTAAGCAGCTATTATTTATCATGTGTTCTAAGCACTATGGATTTAGCAACACAAATATCTAAGCAAGTATTCATTTATTCAGTGATTTTTTTTTTTTGGAGATAATGTGCTAAGTATTAAATATTTAGACCCTGGTGATTTAACAGGAAAACCCCAGATATCTCCTGGCATTTAAATACATGCCTCTAGAGGGTTCTCTCCTGTCTCGCTCTTCCATATGCTTCTGCAGAGCGAAATTTGGAAAAAAAAAAAATGTGCACAGGAGTTATTGCTTATTTCTATCTCTGATACTAATTAGGAAATGATTCCTGTCACTCCCCTCTCTACCTCAGATTTTCACTATAAATCCAAAATGTCATAAACTGAAGATAACATAAAAGAAGAACCAGCAATTATAGGAAGAAAGAGAAAATATTTCTGACCATTGCTTCCTTGAGCTTAGCGGATAGACTATTTCTCTATTCTACCAGGCAGGGGAGATGGTACTCCACAGGGATGAAGACAGTGCTTCATCAAAGAACTCATTGTTCAAAAGTTCTAATGGTTCTTCTCCTTCCCTGTTGTGTTCATCAGGCAGTGATGTCCTCCTAGAGAGAGTTACCTGAAATAATGATGGTACATCCTATGTCCTGGAATAAATGTGCCCTGGATGTGCAAGCATTTTTCTTCCTTCCCTTCTATGCTCACCTGTAAGAAGTAGTCTTTCCTCAAGAAATCAAGGGATACGCTACATCATCATAGCTGTTGAACTTTCTCTTTTAAAGAGTTGTTGGTCATGTGTGTAACAGGACAGGTGCTGGTTATTGGCCCTGTCTCCCACATGGCTCTCTCATGGAAGCCTGCATTCTGTGCGTGTTGAATCTGTCAGCTAGGTGGTTTCGCTCCCAAGGCCGTTCTTGGCTATGGTGACCTGTCACTGTCCAAAGAGCTCTTCATCATCATTAATTTTCAGAGGAGGGAGGATATTGTCCAAAGCTGTGAGACCCCTGCTTATCAACTGTATTAGAGCAATCCACTAGGAATCACACGTCACAGACACACTTGTCACATCACTTTTGGCCTGGCCACGATCAGGCACGCTGTTCTCTGTTACCGACCATAGGGATGCCTCTAAAGCATTTGTGCTAATCAGAAATTACAGAGTATTAGGGCACTTGTTTCTAGACTTTTCTTACACAGAAAAACATCTACTAGACAAGACTGGGAGCTGCATGTTACTGCTCTCTAAATTAGCAAAAGCTGCACTCAGGACTTGGTAAGGAGTAATGAACAGGCCCATGACAATCACCTTTTGGCTCTGTTCAGGTGGATTTTTGCCTATACCATTTTCTTCTTCCTGTCTGGTTTCCTCTACAACTGGGAAAAGTCTAATACTACTCACCTTGCTCTTCAGTGGCCTCCTATTTTAGGGATACTGCTTGGCCCCATCAATATAAAGCCAAATATTGACTTCACCAGAGAAGGGAGATAGTCTGTAGTTAAGAGATCAACAACTAGGATTCAGGTTCTATTTCTTCCACTTGATAGCTATTTGATCTTGCAAAAATGATTGAAATCCCCTCTCTCCCTTTACATATTTATGTTTGAAATGGCAGCTAGTTTTCACATCAAAAAATTTAACATATGTGTTAAATGAGATAATCATTGCACACTTAATGGCTCCAAAACACCAGCTTCTACCTTAATAAGCTTTCACGAACAACATTAACCTTCCAAATTTCTGCTTTTTCACCAACTCTTCTGGTTCACATGTCTTCCCTCTTGAATGGGGTTCAAAGGCTAACTCACATTTAGACAAAATGCTGGTATTTTACTAACTATATCATAAAATAAAAAACTCCCTTTTTTGTCCTCCCCGTCTCCTATCCCATTATATACACACACACAGTGCTAGTGTAGAGTGAGTCACATTTTTCCAAGGGCCCCAAAGTGTGTGTGCACAGAATGATTCATTTTAACGGGATTTGTGCTTTCTTCTGCATTTCCTGCACTCAATAATGCATATTCCTGATACAAAGACTCATTGTACACTTGTATCTTACACAGGTCTCCTCCACCAAAACACCTTCCAGAGCACACAGAGGTGGAGATAGCTGCAGAGGTCATGCAGCTGCACACAAGGAGAATGCACGCCCTCCTCCCCAGCCACCCCGAATGCCAGCTGCCATTTGCTCCCTGCACCTTAGCTCTACTGGCCTTCACATGTTGCTCACCTCTGGTCCTTATTCAATCATCTATGGATTTTCTTACTTTTCATTTATCCCTGGGCACTCATCCCTCATTGCAATTCAACTGGGAAATCCACACTGAATGACTTTCAGCTTCCTGCTAACCAGAACAATCAGATTTAAGGAACATTTGTGCCAGGTTCTATGTCAGCCAATATTCTTTCTATCTAGGTAATCAGCAGATAGGGCACTGTCGTTCTGATCACATCAATTTCAATTCAGGTTGCTGTGAACTTTCAGGCTAATAAAGCATACTCTCTGTCCCCAACCCCAGGACGCAAAACACCTTTACATAATGCAGTCACGCTGCTGCTCAAAGTGACGATAACAAGAGCCAACAGTTTCCCTGCAGATGGTTAACAACAAGAAAGACAAAGGGGAAGCACAAGGTTTAACTGAAAAATAGCTTCCCGTGTCCAGAGGTTTCTTCTCCCCCTTTTCATTCTGTGCCCGTTAGCCAAGTCTGATTTCTGAAAACAGCGGCGACTCCTAAGATATTGTAAAGGCATTCCTGTCCGACCTGTCATCTTTTCCATTATCAAGAGACGATTATAATGGTCTCTATTTTGGCAGAAATCAAAATTTCACCAGAGAAATGATTCTCTATTGAGTTGAAAAGAGGGGAAAAGATAACCAGGAAGGGAAAAACTCAACCTGAAAATCAGATGTTTTTTCCTTGGGGGTGAAGGATAGCACTGAGATCAGGTAAGCAAATTGGGTGATTAATCTGGAACAGCTGCTTTGACTTCATACCAGTCAGGCTCTCAGACTAGGATTGTAAGTGCTGGATCGAGGCAAGGAGCTGGGCAGCATTTCAACAAAACACACTTAAAGTTTAAATGTTTATAAGACATTTACAAATGAGGAAAGAAATGTGGCAATTTACACTTGTTTATAAAAAGACAACTAGTTGGTGTTAAAGAAAGTCATATGGCCATGCTAATCACAATCTGGGTAGAAGTGGAGTCCCAAAACAGGGGAAACATGTTGGACATTTAAACAATGAGGATCCATTTTAAGACTACAGGGCTGTAACAGTGTATGAGGGCTTAAATGCATTGGAAGACACTATTAATTGTGTTACCTATAATTTGTTAAGCATCGCTGTATTCCAGACCCTGCTCTCGATAGTTTAACTCATTTCCTTCTCAGATCAAATCTCTCAAGTCGGTACCAAATTTACCTCCACACTTTAAACAAAGGAATCTCAGATATAGAAGTTACTGGACTTGTCTCAAGAATTCATATGAGTGGCATGGCTAAGATTTAAATACAGGCAGCCTGACTCCAAAATGTACACTCTAAACCACAGTTTTATCCAAATGAATTTGAGTACTAGAATATGTATGTGCTTTCCAGAACACATGTTCAGTTTGAGGCTGAGAGAGCTGACACTATATTTATCAGGAATGTGGCAGGAAAGGAAGCAGAAGAAACTTGTGAATGTATAAAAAAGCCTGCAACGTATTTCTCAAAATATATATGCACAAACTATATCTTATGCGAGTCTACCATAATTTCCATTACAAATACTCAGGCTCTGAATTGGGCATACAGTGTGTTAACACGCTTTTGTGTATAGAGAGAAGTTTAGATACTAGGGGAGAGTCTCCAAGAACTCTTAAAGGAGAAGGAATACAGTTAGCATTAAAAGGGATTACAATGCTGAAATTGACTTCTTTCTTTGACATACTGGATATGATTCCCTTGCTTCTTGTTATACAAACAACCTCTTGACTTGATGAACTTACACTCACACAAATGATAGCTTCATTATAGTTGTGCATATTTGAATCTGTTTTAGAATTTTTTTTTCCAGATAGAATGTATATGATTGCACATTCCAAATGCTGAATATGTTTTTAATGGTTCATTATAACCCATTATGAACCCCTCAGAGCTCAAGATAAGACTGACAAATGGCTAAAGATCCTTTCCCGAATAGCAGCTTTCTTTGTACCTAGTCATGCTTTAAATAGCAAGTGAAACATTGGTGATGTCATGCAAGAAACACAACTGGTCTAACATATATGATTTGATTTTGAATCTCAGTCATTTTGAGAAACAGGGGGCTTAGTTCCTTTAGTTACCTTAGGGGACAAATCTAATGTTGTCATCCTTTCCCCAATTTAGGAAAGAAAGATCTATTAATCTTACCTCCCTCACTGGCTCTCAGAATCTGGCAAGGAGTAGGGGAAGTGATCTAATGAGAAGGTGTTAAGTTCTTGAACCTCCCTGTTGGTGCAAGAGGTTAATTCTCAACACAATGAAGCTACCCACAACCACTGCAACGTGAGCTCTATACAGTGCAGGGAGCTGACCCACATGGTGCAGCAGACCTCTCTTGTCCTGCCTGCTACTCCCCCCAGCAGTGTATTTCTGTCAGTCAGCTTGTTCTGATCCCCAGTCTGTCTCTGGTGAATCCTCTCACCCCCTGCACCTCTGGCTTAGACCCCAGTTCTGCATGAATATTTTTTTTTTCTTTAAAAGGTGTTCAAGTCCAATAGGAGTGTCCCCTGATGCAGTGAAAGGCTAACCCCTCAAACTTTCTTCAGAGAGATAAGAGCCCACCAGCTCCTTTGTTGGAAACTCTAACCCCCTCTTAGCCCAAGATTTCAAATGACATACCACAGTCACTCTGGCTCAAACCCGTTAATTGTTTGACTGCTTCCCTAGACACAGCCAGTAAGCCTGGAGCCTCATGGACTTGGTTAAAAAGAATCCTTCCTAGAGATGTTCTTCAAATTAACTAATCCTCCTTCCTCCACATGGAGAATGGCCATGTAGGAAATCAGTCATGAAAACAATTAATTTGAAAACATTAGATCATGAAGCTACCATTGTGGGGCCTTCATTGACCTCCCAGGCTCTGCAGTGGCTCAGGGCCACACATGCCTCATGACATACCTCATAGAGGTCGATCATGACGTTACCCTCAGGGCCTCTGCTGCTCTGCACGTTCTCCAAGGCCAGGGTGAAGTAGACACCCCGGGTGTCTGAGATGTAGAGGTTGTACGTGTCATTTTGGTTCCATTCTTGAACAGCTGCGAACACTTGGTTCTCATCTGTGCTGATCACATGCATGTCCTGAAAAAGGTAAAGGGAAGCATAGAGGAAAAGGTTTTGTAAGTTAATCCAGCATATGTCCCAAGAGTATGGACTCACAGTCATTAGGCACTATGATAGAAGACAGGGATTCTTCTCTTGCATATCTGGAAGACAGTAATTAACTAGTTGTGTTAATCATATATTTCCTTTGTCACTGGTGGGGTTAAATAGAGGGGTCACAAGAAAATGGGAAAGAGAAATGCTTGGTAGTTCAGTGATCATTTAATTGCTTTATTACATAATTTGAAAAATACCCTCTCAAATCTGTATGATTTTTCAGTCATTCTGATATACTCTTCAAGCACAAACGGTACATGCTCAGAGGTGGATGTGGGGTAAATATGAGGAAACTAGGACAGAGAGAAAATAAATAAGCCCCATATCCTGAGGTGTGGTCCATGGACCAGAGACGTGTGAGTATAACCTGCAGGCTTGCTGGACACACGGAACCCTAGGCCTCCCTGTAAAAAGATTCCACATTTTTATAAGATCCTTGAGTGATTAATATACATGTTAACATTTAAGAAGCTCAACAACTTTCAGAACCCCTGAGGAAAAAGGCCCTTCTGAGAACTCCAAAGTACTAACAAGTGCTCAAGGGCTCAGCGAAATCTTTCCTGGGGACAGCTCAAGAAGAAACCTTAAGGAAAAGGGGAAAAATAGCCTGCATAATTGATGATGTTTTCTGACTGGTAGTCTTGCAAGATAGAAAGCAGGCAAAGGTGATGTGGAGGCGGTGAGCAGATGTCCCTATGGTGGGAATTCCAAATCTTTTCTTCCCTCATTCAAAATTCCAGAGAAGTGGATGTTCAGATTGTGGCCGCCATAGGCCAAAGCAAGCTGTCTCCTCTGGGGACGCCTGTTCTGATGTTCCTGGCAGCCTCCCACTCTTTGCCCAAGTCAGCAAAATTGATATAACTTAAAAAACAAACAAACAAACAAACAAAAAAACAAGCCACCAAACCAAAAAGAGTGACATAGTAGCATGAGGGTAGGTCCTTCATCTTCCATAGCAACAGTTCCAATGCTGGAAAATTTTACATCTACTCTAACCTAAATTTCTCATAACAATACATCTTCACATTTGCTTAGCCAACCAACCAACCAATCAGCAACTGAGCTCCAACTCAACGTTAGACCAATAGCAAAGACAATCTTCCCCCTTTTGAATCTTGCTCACAGTGAACTCAAATGACTGTAGAACGAAGAATCTGTTGCCAAAGAGTTCCACATTACTCAGCTCCACCCAGGCTTGCATGCCTTGGACTAGAATGTGGCAATGGTTTTGCAGGAAAAAATCCCAGAGTGGGAAGAATAAAAACAAATTCTACTCATTAATTCAGTGTGGTCAATAATGCCAGCTAAGATTTGATATATGGTTGACCACATCTTATATCAGCTCAATGTCTATTAAAATTTCGTATGATAATGGTAGCTTAATGTTCTTTGAAAAACATAAAACATCTTCATCCTTCTCAGATAAATTTTCTCTCCTTATACTCAATCATTGCTATTTTCTTCTGCTATCAGCACCAGCAGTGAGTTTGCAGTCCTGGCACTCAGAATATTCAATTTCTCTGATGATAATGACTGGATTACTGATGGATATGTGATCCAAGCAAAGTGAGTAACACAAGATTCTAGAATGACAGTGGAATTGTTAAAAGGGGTAAAAAAAAAAAAATCTTACTACTGGCTTGTAAGCAGTAAGAAAATTTAAAAGCTTAGATCAGCTATTAAGTGTTGAGCATTAATTATAGTGCCTGGTGCTTAACATCTGTTCCATACCTGCTAGCAATTTCTGTTAAGCAAGTCCCTGAATCCCCTTTGTTGATTGAGCAAGATTGATCTGGCCTTTCGGTTTCCTTGCAAATGTTAGGGTGGACAAATTTATGTATGCGACAAAAAGTGTTCATGTAGTGTTTTGTTTCCTGCCAGTGGAGGAAGTTCACTGAGGAAATTAGCCAAGAGCCATTGAACCATCAAGGGACAAACCCTCTCTGTCTCTACACTACCTACAGCGAAAAGACGTACATCCTTCTTCTGGCATTTAGAGCCTTCAAACAACTATTTCTGATCCATGTCCCCTTCCTTATTAGCAGGATGCAGTAGCCTCCCTGAAATCAAGTGAAAATAATTCAGAAGCAACCTCCAAAACTGACTCTCCCTCTCCTGGAGAGGGACGTTGTGAACAAGAAATTCTGAGGTCAGGGTCACGACAGACATTTCACTAAACAATCCTAGGGACCTAAGTAGATCATCTGTACTACCCCAACTAACCCAAATCTCTATTTTGTGGCTGTCAGACACGGACAAAGCAAGTCTTCAATAAGCAAAATAATATTGCTATAAGGGTCACCTTATAGCAAAAGGATCAAGGCCCTCCCTGGTGGCACAACTAGTTAAAGCACAGCACTGCAAGCTGGCCACAGCTGCTTCAGTGGAAGTTTGATTCCCAGTCCCGGAGCTGACCCACATGGCGCGGCAGACCTCTCCTGACCCATCCGCCGCTCCCCTCAGCAGTGTACTTCGTCAATCTGCCTTTTCTGTTCCTCACTCTGTGTCTAATATATCCTCTCACACCCCTTGCATCTCTCGTGTTCACCTCAGTTCTGTATATATAAATAAATCTTAAAAAATAAGAAAAGGATCAAGATAACATCTCTTTCTCCTCATGTGTCTAATTATATTGAACAGACTTAAAAAAAAAACAATATTGGTCTTAAATATTTTAAAGGTTTTAAATGAATGCCATATTTCTTTATTTTTCTTTGCATACCTTCTTCCTCTATCAGGAAAATGTGTTACTTCTCCCCCAGTGACACTATATATAGGCTGAATGTTTTTGGTGAGACATAAAATTTCAGAGGAAGAAGTTATCTTTGATTATCTTTCTTGTATGAGAACTTTCAGAAATTCTGCCCCATAGAAGACCAGTGTTTTGGGTTTATATATATATATATATGTATGTATATGCATGTATATGTATGTATATGCATATATGTATATGTATGTGTATATGTATATATGTATGTATATGTATATATGTAAACAGGCCCTTTGGTAAAACAGTTTGATTAATTCTGAATTAAATACCTTCTTGCTTGCAGGCCAGTTTAGAACCTTCAACATACTAGCAAGTTACCTTTATGTTTTAGGCAAGGGATGTAAAATGGAAATTTTTTTTTTTTAACTTAATTGAACACAGAACCAAATCTTCATGAGGCATCTCTAAGGGCATTTTGTGCTGGGTAATCCTTTTGGAAAAGTGCTGTGACTTTAAGCTCCTTATTTTAAATATGCTTTAAAAAATACACTAAAGGAAAAAGGAAACTGATATACCAGCCCAGGTTTAAAAACAGATTAGTGACAAATCTAGGTCAGCAATTCAGGTTTCCAGTGAGAATCAAGCAGCCTTCACCCCACTCACAACCTGTTCGCAATGATCTTCAACACACAGGCAACCAGATCCATACTGATAATCATATTACTTGCTTTTATAGAGGAGCTGTCCTCCAAAATGCTCAAAGCACTTTCTTATGTATTGCCTCATTTATCTCACTTCAGTAGCTCAGAATGAACACCAAGTAAGTTAAAGGAAGGAAACTGTCACAAATTCTCCCTGTCTGGAGGACTTCATGCTGTTAATGCAATAGCAACATTAAAATTTCTCCACCACACACACTATTTTTACCATTATTTTCAAATCACGATATATAGGGTGTGTAGATCTATTCTTTCTTTCTTTCTTTCTACCTACCTACCTACTTATGTATCTATCTATCTATCTATCT